GGACAAGTCATTTTGTTCTGTTCTTACATTGTGGAAAGGGACAGGTAGTTCTCAGGAGACTCTATATTATAAAGGTACTAAAACCCATTTTTGCAGAGTTGGCTCTTAGGACCTAATCACCTTCTAAAGACTCCATTGCCTTCTGCCCTTACATAACCCTGGGCATATCTGAGTGGTTAAGAAAGAAAACTTGCTATCAGTGATAAAGATAACCAATTCTGGAGAAAGCTAAGCAGTTTGCCCATAAGTATCTACTGCCTCCTTGCCTTAGCTGGTCCTGGTTACCAGGCAGCTAGGGATGGACAGAAGGTCTGTTGATCTCTAAGGTCTGGCTACTATGTTTTCACATTGGGAATTAGGTTTCAACATAGACTTTGAAGGAAGAATGAGATTCTAAATGCAGAGCCTCACAGACATCCATGGCATTCACAAAAGTCCTGTGCAAATTGAAGAATTGGAGAATCGGGGAAGGACATGGAGGGAGGGGGAGAGAGAGAGGGAGAGGGAGAGGGAGAGGGAGAGGGAGAGAGAGAGACTGACTGTTACCTCAGGAAATTTTGCACACACACTCTGGCCCCTTTGGATGCCTAGTTTGTTTGTTTGTTTTTCAGTCAGATCTGAATTCCAGTTGTGACTTTGTCTTATTAACTAATTACTTTGTCTCATTTTCCTATTTAAAATAAATCTTTACGTGAATATCAAATGAGAAGAGATGTATAAAGCTCAGAATCAGAGGCTCCTTTTACTGCAGTGGATTTTGGGGAGATTCTCCATTATCCAAAATTTAGGAGTTGAAGGTACCTTTTAGGACTTTTGTATGTTTGCAAAGCTCTTTGGTTTTTTTCCTAGTGTTGGCTTTTGTGTTCTAGAACATAGTTTCTGTCTGAAATATTTGAACTTGGGAAAACGGTTTGTTTTTTGCCAAACTGTCTGAAATATTTGAACTTGGGAAAACGGTTTGTTTTTTGCCAAATTTCTGTTCTTACTAACTTGAAGAAGCTGGTCCATCCCTTTGAGCTGTAATTGCATTTCAAAGCTATTGTCCCTGGTGGTGGTTTAATTAGTTTAAGGCTCCAGCTTTTAAGCAGTTGTTTATCTAGCAAGTGAAAGTGAAGACATTGGCCTAGGAGGCAGCTCCCTCTAGTTTTCCTCCAGCATAGCAGTGTCTTTGAGATTCTGTCTTTGTTTTCTGCTCCATGCTTTCCTGGATGCCCATCTCACTTAAAGGAAAAATAGAATACAAAAACCTAATCTTATAGGGTATGATAGCCCATGCTTGTAATTTTAGCGTTTGGGAAGTAGAAGTAGAGAGATAAATTCAAGGCCAGCTTAAGCTGTATGAGACTCTATCTTTAAAGAGAGAGGCGGTGGGCTGTGGGGGTGGAGAGGGAGAAAGGCAAAAAACAACAACAAACTATATTTAGAGCTAGAGGACACCCCAAACCTGGGGCCGGCTTTAATCTTGGCTGTTCTGTTTATGAACCAGAGTTCCTGCTAATCTGACATTACAGATGTCTCTAATGTGGTTGTTGTATGACCTCCCCAGGCCCACCATCCACCTCTCCTCCTCAGCTTTTGTTTTGTTTTTTGAGACAAGGTTTCTCTGTGTAGTTTTGGTGCCTGTCCTGGATCTTGCTCTGTAGACCAGGCTAGCCTCGAACTCACAGAGGTGCGCTTGGCTCTGCTTCCCGAGTACTGGGATTAAGGGCGTGCACTCCTGCTGCCCGGCTCAGTTAACGCAGTTTATAAAACCAGGTTTGGTTGACAGTGGGGAGCAGCTTACCAAGTTAGTTACGTGCTTTTTGCTGAAAAGAATATTGGTATTTTTAGGATCCCTACTTGGAGATACATGGAAATCTTGAAAAAATCCAGGAAAAGGCTAGATGTGGTGTTACATGCTGGTGATTTAGCAGCCACATGCATATGAAAGCATGTGACTCGTCTTGGTATCCTAAAAGTGTGCTCCAGTCTGATCATGACTCATCTAGAATGGCCCCCTAGTGGTGGTGTTAATGAGATGGACAAATACATACTAGTTGTACTAGTATTTGGTCTTGTAAAGGCCTCCACAGTTTGCAAAGTTCTTTTATATGTATTGTCCCAAAGCTCAAGAGAGGAGAAAAGATTGGCAGAGCCAAGCCTGTGAGTGCTGGTCCCTCCACAGTGCTCCTTCGCAGAGGTGCTCAGTGAGTGCTTCCTGGGCAGTTGGGCTGGAGGCTCCTAACAGTCTGAGGGAATCCACCACTGTCCTGTCCTTGTCACGTAAATGCAGAGCCAGCAGCCATTACATCTGAACTATCATCTCTCCTTCCCTCTTTCTCAGTCCACACCCTGGGCCTGGTTGTCTCCCTCCTGCCAAACAAAGTAGCATCTCTCTGCATAGTTTTAAGCAGGATGAGTTAGCATCTAATGTCACATAGGCACCTTATAAAGTTTGTTTGTGGATAGACAAGGAATTAACCTTTGAATTACTTACCATCCAGGTAGGAGGATTGTTGTAGCTGAAAAATGGGGAAGCATTAAACATTTCTTGTTGTTTATGGAAAGTGTATTGGATGTGTTCTTGGATATCTCCTTGTGTCCTTCACTGCTTTATAAATGTTGGTGTAAAAGTAAATTTAGTAGCAAGAGCCTGTCTCGTCCAAGTCAGTTCTATAGCTCACACCAGCCTCTTCATTAGTACATGCGATATAAGCTCTGAGCCCTTGCTTTAGGATAGTACAAAAAGATAACATTTCTTCAGCTTGCATTCCTACTTAATTCTCTGAAAAGAAGCCCCTACCCCTCAGTATTAGGCAGAATAAACAGGCCGACTGATGGTTTTTATTTGTTTTGCTTGGAGACTTATTTAGTACCTTCTGAAACTACTCTAGGAGATAGATTGGAATTGCATGAATACAGGGCCAGGAAGTACAAAGGCCAAGATCAGACCACAAACCTTACCTACTGGAATTAACATCCTTTTCCCTTTTTCTTGGGCCTTATGCCAGGGTGCAACTGTTCTGCACAAGGGCTCTAACATAGATTTTATTTATTTATTTATTTATTTTTGAAGACTGAGTCTTTCTGGTTTTCCTGAAATTTACTATGTAGACCAGGTTGGCCTTGAACTCACCTTCCTCTGCCTTCTGAGTGCTGGGATTAAAGGCATGCTCCATTGTGACGAACAGGGTATACATTTTAAAAAGTTAAGTACAGGGGCATGCACTTGTAATGTCAGTGCTAGAGGAAGCAGACTTAGGCTTGCTGGCTGGTAAGGTCAGGTACTTAGTAAAGAAAAAGCAGGTGGACTGTACCTGAGACATGATACCTCAGTTTGTCTACGGACCTGCGTATAGACACACTCACAAGAGTAGTTGCAAACTCGTTTGTAAGCTGAACTGATTCTTAGTCAGTGTAAAGTGAATAACTGATTAAATTCTAAAGACCATTCTCGGGTAAATTCGTTATCTCAACTATTTAAGTTGGTTTTAACTCTAGGAAGCAGTGATGGAGCTGACAGAAATGGTCTTTAAAAGTGTTTAGATGCCTCTTGTTAGCAAGTTAACAATCTTAACAAAAAAATTTTAGCAGAGTCTCGGTTTCTGGTAAAATAATCTATATTCATCCATGAGTTCCTTAGCCTACAGTGGCTACCTGGTAAGCTGTGTAAGCACACTTTTTACAGAGTGGCTAGCTTTAGACTTTCTTTAGACTTTACTGGCTGAGTTAGGAAAGATGAAGTACATCGAGATCAGACTAAGCTTCTTTTGTTTGTTTCTCAAGACAGAGTTTCTCTGTGTAGCTTTGCGCCTTTCCTGGAACTTACTCTGTAGCCCAGGCTGCCCTCGAACTCACAGAGATCTGCCTGCCTCTGCCTCCCAAGTGCTGGGATTAAAGGCGTGGGCCACCACCGCCTGGTGCATTTTTATTTATTTATTTATTTTTTTAAATAGCAACTGTTCTCTAGCAAAAATCTCTTGAAATTACCATGTGTCCTTTTCGTGACAGTTCTGCATTGGAGAAACAAAAAAAAAAGGTAGAAAATTATTAAATTTAGTTTTTTAATGGGGTAGCATTTGTGATATTTTAAAAGATACAGGGTTTAAAAAAAAAAATGGAGTCAGGCCTGGAGAGATGGCTCAGCAGTTAAGAGCCCTTCCTGTTCTTCCAGAGGTCGCCGGTTCTATTCCCAGCACCCACATGGCGGCTCACAACTCTCTGTAATTTCAGTTTCCTGCTGCAAAACACCAATGCACATAAAATAAAAATAAATAATTTTAAAAAATGGCATCAAGAGACTGGTTAATCCCAGCCTTGCTGTTGACTAGCATTGTGACCTTCCAATATTGGTTTTTCCCATATGCACTATCATGTGAGTACCAAATGAGAAGACATTGTAAAGCACCTAGTATAAGATTAGCAGCAACTCCGGATAACGTAACAAGAAAACAATTCAGGAACAGGAAGGATGGGTGCCATAGGGATGAGAATGTAGAAGGGCAAGGAGCAATCCAGGTTAGTCAGGATATGGGCCATGAACATTCCTCAAGCCTAGCCTGAGAACCCAGTTTCACATTGGCATTATCTTTTCAGGTGTACACCATGTCCTTGAAGATTCAGACCAGCAATGTAACCAATAAGAATGACCCCAAGTCCATCAACTCTCGGGTCTTCATTGGGAACCTAAACACAGCTGTGGTAAAGAAGTCAGATGTGGAAACCATCTTTTCCAAATATGGCCGTGTGGCCGGCTGTTCTGTGCACAAAGGCTATGCCTTTGTCCAGTATGCCAATGAGCGCCATGCCCGGGCAGCTGTGCTGGGAGAGAATGGACGGGTGCTGGCTGGACAGACTCTGGGTAAGTTAACCTCTTCTGTCCTCTGAGTAGCTACTGTCTGGGAGTTTATGACTTCAACAGATATAAATTATATTCTTAACTCTTAAATGATTGCCTATAAGGGATTGTTATAGATGCCCCCTTTCTCCTGCCCTTGCTTTCCCAATGCTTCTTTTTTAAAAAATTATTTGTGTTTCTGGACATGGTGGCATGTACCTTTAATCCCAGCACTTGGGAGGCAGAGGGAAGCGGATCTCTGTAAGTTCAGGGCCAGCCTGGTCTACAGAGTGAATTCCAGGACATCCACTTCTACACAGAAGGATCCTGTCTCAGAAGGGAAAAAGTATGTTTGTTTACACATACACATGTATATATGTAAACCACGGTTCCTGTGTAGAGGTCAGAGGACAACTTTATGGAGTTGGTTCTCCTTCTATCTTTATGTGGGTTCTAAGGATCAAACTCA